TCCTTGATATGAGCTTAAACTATCTACATATTCAAATGCTCCTTGATATGAGCCTAAACTATCTACATATTCCAATGCTCCTTGATATGAGCCTAAACTATCTACATATTCAAATGTTCCTTGATATGAGCTTAAACTATCTACATATTCAAACGCTCCTTGATATGAGCCTAAACTATCTACATATTCAAATGCTCCTTGATATGAGTCTAAACTATCCAAAACTATCCAAATACCCATATTCAAATGCTCCTTGATAAGAGCTTAAACTATCTATATGGCTCCTTGACACGAGCATAAAATGTCTACATATTCAATCTCCTTGACACGAGAATAAAAGGTCTACAAGTCAAATATGAAGCTCCTTGACACGAGCATAAAATGTCTACATATCAAGATCTCCTTGACACGAGGATAAAAGGTCTACATATCAAGATCTCATTGACACGAGAATAAAAGGTCTACAATTCAAGAACTCCTTGATACGAGTATAAACCATCTACAAATCAAGTCAAATGAAGAACTCCTTGATAAGAGTTTAAACTATTTGTATGTCCAAACCAAATTCAAAATTTTGAGACTCATTCACTACCAAGACATTTTGTCCGTGAACAAGTCTCAAGGGGGCATTTGTAGACATCGAAATTTTAATATTTATTAATTAATGTCTTTATTTATTTTGGGACATTAATCCATGATAAATAAGATAATTAATTAATAAAGTTATTATTTCTTGCCTACCAAGTCAAAATCTTATGATGAGGAAAGAGATTATATCAAATCTTAGGATAAGGAAAAAGATTATATCAAATCAAGAAGGACCAATCAAATTGATGTCTTCTTTTCCAAGACTCTCTCTCTTACACCTATAAATAGGGCTCTCCTCAAAGTCAAAAATCACACCTCAATACCCCAAACGCCTCAAAAATATCAAACACATCTCAAATATTGAAGTCTCAAATTCAAGAGTTCTCAAGAACCCTCTTGAAGATTTGAAGAAGTTCTTGAAGAACCGCCTAAAGTCCATTCAATGAAGAAGAAGGCCAAGAAGAATAAAAAGAGGCGGCGGGTCTTCCTCAAGAAGTAAAGAGATGACTTTCACGCTTCTCAAGTCAATCCAAGAATATCAACGACGTTCAAGCGACATTCAAGCCGCGTTCGTTGAGAAGTTCAACCAACATAGCGTCTGATCCGGGAAAAGGCTATCAAATTCCCGAATCAACGTTATTCAAGTCAGAGTCCCTCTTTCAAGAAGATCAAATAAACAAGTTCTCCAAAAAGTTGTCTTCAATCAAGTCAAGGCCTGACATTTAATACGGGAATAAGTCATTCGACCCCAAAATTAATGTTAGAGGAATTCAAGATCAAGCCCAAAGAAGATCCAAGTCCAAATCCATCTTTCAAGGTCTCAATCCCAAATTCATGAAGAGAAGAATCAGAGGAGATGGATAGAGATTGTACCCGCATATCGTTTGATCTAGATATAATCAAGTTGTACATAAAGTTTTATGTTTTTCATAAAATTTATTGTTACAAATTTGGCACGCCCAGTGGGACTCGAAGTAAAATTTGTTGTTACAAATTTGGCACGCTCGGTGGGACCATTTCTACCTCTCATCTCTTCTCTTCAAATCAAGTTCGAAGATCTTTGAAGATGCATGAAGACCTCTTTGAAGAAATTGTACAAGGGGCAACTAAGGATGATGTCTCATCAAGCCATGAAGTCTTCAACCGAATGGAGGAGAAACAAACCCGATCTGCCATATTCTTTTCAACTTCCATGAGGGGCAATTTACATGAAGAGCTCCATTACATAGTCAAATGCTCCTTGATATGAGCCTAAATTATCTACATATATAATGCTCCTTGATATGAGCTTAAACTATCTACATATTCAAATGCTCCTTGATATGAG